ATACGATATCCTACACAACTACCACGGAACTCAAATTTTTTGCGGATGTTTATTCCGAGCCTGTGCAATATTTCGTGATATTTTCCCCCTCTTGCCCGATTAGAGGTAAAGAGCACCTCACAGTGACATATTTTCCGAATATTTCGAGTATTAAGTACAGCTATTGTCCAGATTCCAGATTCCTTCGGCTTTCATTTGTGGCCTATAGATCGACTCGAAAATAACACAAAAAATTAAGTTTTCGGTCCACTTCATTCCAAAATTATTATCTGATCATCACCGAAAATTATAGGCGTTGTCTTTGACCATAACTGGAACCTCATGGAACATTTCAAAGCGATCAGCGCTATATTTCCGCCCTCCAGTATGGTAATGGGTTACTAAATAATATACGTATACGTAGATACCTGTAAATAGTTGGATGTAACTCCCACATCTGAGCACATACAACAATATAATTGGTATTAATTTAAAGGTCAACCACTCCTCTTGGATATAAAATCAACTTCTCGGATCTATGTCCATCAGGGACAAATATATACGCTATAGAATACAAATATTGTCATTTTTCACACAAAAGTCAGGGTCCATTTGACCCGCTAAATATTGACCATAATTGCGGCCTCTGGAGCGACCAGAAAAACCGACAAAAATTTAGTATTTGGTCCATTTCATCCCCTAAATATTAACCGATCTTTACCAAAAACAATAGGGGTCTTCATTAGCCAGAACCCATCCTACATGCAAAATTTCGTGACGATTGGTCCATAACTGTGGCCTGTATCGTGTATACAAATTATAATGGACAGACGGACACACACATGTCTAGTTCCGAAAACCACATACTTAAAGGTGGGTCTAGGACCAATATTTCGCGGCGTTACAAACTTTTGGGACTGCACAAAGCTATAATACCCTGACAACATAGTTGTGTAGGGTATAAAAATTGAAAATTTGTAACCGCGGTAAGGTCTGAGATTCTAAGTATCTAAATCAAAAACTTGTATTTTCTCTGTATTTTGTCTTCGAAAAAGGTTTTTAATCATCTGAGAAAACGAAATACCGAATTAAATGAACTTAGGTTAGGGAATTCCGATAGGACTTCAAAACATACCTAACATATGACAATATCTTTAGATGGGAGCTGTGTCAGAACATGGACCTATATAGATTTTTTTTCTGGGGTATGTTAATTTAAAAACAAACCGAAAACCACAACCGGATAATCAGCGATAATCAGCGAGATTTTGAACATTTTGTGGGGGAGGTACATCGGCTGAAGAATAAAAAAGCAGCAGGAGTGTTCAAGACCTGTGGTTAGATGCTGGTAAGGAGAATGCACCAGCTGATTAGTACAATTTGGCTAGAGAAATGCATGCCCAATAATTGGAACCTCAGCATCCTGTGTCCCGTGCACAAAAAAGGAGACAAGACGATATGTGCCAACTATAGAGGAATAAGTCTCCTTCCCATCGCATATATACCAATGGGGCTTCAGACCTGAAAAATCCACTTTAGAAAAGATTTTCACACTGCGCCAAATCTTGGAAAAGACCCACGAAAAACACAACGACACATTCCACCTATTCGTCGTCGACTACAAAGCTGCATTCAACAGCCATATCCGTTCAGTGTTTAAAGCCATGTCTACGTTCGGCATTCCTGCAAAATTAATACAGCTATGCAGGATAACTTTAACTGGCACAAGCCAACAACAGTTAAAGTCGGAAAGAAGCTCTCGGAGCCCTTCAATACCGAAAGAGGATTCAGACAAGGTGACCGTTTGTCGTGTGACCATTTTTAACATTCTGCTGCAAAAGGTCATACGAGAAGAAAATGTAAACTGAAATGTACACCAAACCACACGTGTTAGTCACCTACACAGATGACATCGACATAATGGGTCGAACATTGTGAGCGGTAACAGCAATCTTTGAAGAAATTGAGAAGGAGTCTGCCAAAGTGGGCCTGATAGTAAATGGAAAGAAGACCAAGCTGATGGTATCAACGCACAAGAGGTCCAGTAAACTTAGACCAACCGTGAAACTTGAAAACTACAGCTTCGAGATAGTCAACGATTTTATATACATCGGTACCTTCGTAAATAACATTATGGTCCAAGTAAGCAGTTTAGAAATAAGACCAAACTCATTCTTTACAAGACGCTGATACTACCCGTGCTTTTATATGGATCTGAATTATGGGTACTTGCGCAAGCGGATGAGCAGCTCTTGGCGTTTTTGAGAGGAAAATTCTCCGAAAGATCTACGGGCCGATCTGCGGCGACGGTGTATATAGGCGCTGAATGAACTACGAGCTTTACCATTCATAGATATACGGACATCGACATAGTCTGTCGTATCGAGCTGCAGCGACTACGTTGGATAGGTCATGTTGAGAGAATGGATGAAGATGCCCCAGCTCAAAAGGCATATAAAAGCGACCCAACAGATGGTTCACGTAGAAGGGGATGGCCATGAATTCGATGGAAAGATCAAGAGGAAGACAACATTTCGGAGCATGGTCTTTCAAATTGGAAGAGCTGTGCACAAGACCGACGCGCCTGAAAATCTTTTTTTATGCTCGGCTTATGGAACAAATGTTCTGTCACAAGTCATCTAAGTAAGTAAAGTTTAGATGAAGTCGGTTACTACCTTCGAGAGTTATCGTGCGGACGGACATTTGTAAATTGACTCCAAATTGTGTGAAACGGATTTAGTCTAAAGGAACATAGGGGCTAAAACAAATATTTCGATGGCTCAGTTTTTGCGGTATCAAAGTGTATATACCTTTATTAGCCATAAGGTTGAGGGTGTAATAATTTTTGGGGATGTACTCTTTTATCTTTCTATGAGCCTAAGTGTTTCCTATCGAATAGGACGAACATTTTTGATCATATAAAGATTGACTTGTACCTATGGTTGGCCGTATATGGAGTTCGATATTAGCTAACTTCACGCTATTTGTTTTTGTTTGTTAAGGAAGTGATATGTTTGGACCCAAGAGTTTGTAGCATCTCAATATATTTGTTCTAGGCCCATCAATAATCATACTAAACTAGAAGAGATTAATCGCAGTTATGACACGGAATTTACAAAGGTGGCCAGAATAACACCTATATTTTTTATGATTATAATTTGTCTATTATAATGTGACCACTATAATTTGTCTATTTTAACCTGTAATCCAAGCACAGACCGCAGTTATGTACCCATAATCACGAAGGTAGGTTCTGGCCAAAGACCTATCGTTAATATTTAGAGGATAAAATTGACTTACAAGTTTAGTTTCATCTTTCTGGTCGCTCCAGTGGCCACTGGAATTGGAAAATCTTTCTACGACAATTAAAAATATCGGAAGATTTTTGGGCTGCCCCATATAGAGATCTAGCCCCTTTAAAAATATTTTGATAGTTCTAGTCATAGTTTCCAGTATACATTTTCACTTATGTTGTAGTGACTATATTTTAGCACTGGTTGTAATTTGACATTTCAGGACCTTGGTGGATAAACATTATGATCACAGAACATGTTTAACATAAGTTCATCGAAGCTATATAGAAACTTCGATGTTTTTGGCATGTTCTGGGTTCTATCCAAATATTCCATTCTGTATTTTATTTTCTCCTGCCAACAATGGCATAATGAATGGCTTTTAATGAATTTGATCCCTCATACTTTTGTGTATAACATTTTTGAGGCGTATAAGTAAATTATTTTTCTTTTAAAATCAATATGTAGATTATTAACAAATTGACTCGAAGTTTATAATGTGTTAGGATAATTTTTCAATAACAGGTCTATTGAATCAACTATATTCCCTTTCAACGTGATTTCCTGATTACATGGTCCCCTCAACTTTTGTATAACATTTTTGTTGTAAAATTTTTCCTTTGCTTCAAAATATGATTCACACATTTTATGTTCTTGTGGGCTGATCGGAAGTTCATAGATGTCTCATATTTCCCTTCAAAAACTATATTTTCTTAATCTAAAAAAATGTTCTAACCACTGTTAAACTTTTAAAAAATTATAAAAATATGAAGATCCCGAAAAAAATTATACATGAACCGGAGGCATACAGAAAATAAACTATTACAGTTTATGTGATGTCTTCTTTATTGTTCAGCAAACGAAACGAAAAAAAATGGAGTGGAGCATAAAAAATGAAAACCTCAGAAAAAACGCAAACCATAGACAATTGAGCCATTGTTTGAAAAAGGCCAGCCAGTTATGCCCAAACAATTCAAAACAAAAAAGAATACCATAAACCTCAATGGAATAACCATGGCGGTCATGGAAAACACATTTTGTTTTGCCGAGCTGGACATGTGCTTAAAAAAATGTGCTATTTTGCATAATAAAATAAAGGCATACAGGGACATACAAAAATATTACTACAGAAGTTGATTTTCGGAACATACACAGGAGCGAGTGTTAAAGTATATGTGTATGAGTATGTCGGAATGTCTTTTGTTGACTTTTTTGAAGGCCAAAATTTATTTTCCTCTTGACAATTGAAGACATTTTCATACATATTTTCTTCTTGGGAATTTTTCCATCCTACTCCTTGATGTAGTGTAACCGGATGTCAAGCACAACGGAAATTATTTGTTTTTGGTGTGTGTTTTGAAAATTTCCTTCTTTGCGGAGAAGAAGGCGAACCTTGTTTTTTACGCAACGCCCCTTAGTTGGCTTAGAAGAAATAGAAAATAACAAGGTGAAATGTCCTCCTCGATTTTCTTCTTCTGCTTCTGTTTGCTTATTCAACAGTTGACATTGAATGAATGAGTGAGTGAGTTGATGGTTATCCAACTTCCTGTCTACAACTGCATCATTGAATTTCTTTCTCCACCTGTCATTGGAGATGTAAGGTGGTTTATATTGTTGTTGTCGTTTTTCCCTTTTTACAGCTGATGCTGCTGTTGTTTATTCACCATCGGTTGTTGTTGCTTAGTTGTGAAAATAAAAACAAACAAAAAAACTACGCTGGGTACCTACCTGACCATCATTGTCCTTGTCAGCCTTTGAGCGTAGACCTTCCCAAATTTCCAACATGACAGTGTGGATTTCCTTATTCTTTGGTGTGTCCTTAGCCCAGCCACGTAGTTGGCAAACACGCTATACATTCATTCGTCCATTCATGGCAGGTGATAGGTTTGATTAATACCAACGGGGAAACACACACACAGGCATCATGTAAAGGATGAGAGGAAGAAGAAGAGAACAAAAAATAGTTGTTAAAAAATATGCCAAAAATTAGAAATGTGTAAAATATATGTGAGGAGTAGGAATTGTAAAAGTACGCTTAAAATTATTAACCATGGGTTCCGACATATTTGCATGTGACACGAGCATGTGAGGAATGATATATTTGAATATTCTGGTTATTTAGGAAGTGGAGGTCGATAAACAGGGTTTTTTAAATAGAGGTGTACAATGTTGGTATATACAGAAAATAGTGTCTGAGAAAATGATGGGATCTTGATCCTTTTCATTACATTTTGCATACCCAAATCGCAAAGTGGCTGACCCATGTCCTCGAGTGGGTTTTTGGAGTAGATTTTAGTTTTAATCCAAAGGAAGAAGGGCCAATATGTTAAATCACTATCCATGACAAATTCTGATTACCACTTCCAATTACCTTGTCGGACCAAAAACTGTACTGAACAGTCACACTTTGAGGTAGAGAAATATTCACAACAACACGAAGTGTATAATTTTCATTCAGAAATGACATTGCTGATGATTGATTAGCTTGAGTTCTTCTGCTTGTTGACCATTGGGTCTCAATGCAAGGCTATAGGTCGTCGAATTTGCCTCGAAATTGAGCCGAGTTCAATCTTTTATAGGCGAGTCTGTGAACCAGAGAGTCTTTCATATGCAAAATAATGGCAGCTGAAGGGAATTTCTATAGACGAGCTTAAGAGATCATTTTATAGACTAGCTTAAGGGACATTTTCAAAGGAATGTGAAGGATTTCTTTATAGACATTTAACGAGAGCCTATGATGGTAAACTGAAGGGCGTATTATGGGCAAGAGGAACCCAAAGGAGTATTGGACATTTAAATAAGTAATTATAGAAGAACTGGGGGGACCCTATATACGAGCTCAGCGGAATTTCTGTGACCGAATATCAATTTTCTAGATGTGCGGAGAACAGTCGTCACATGCCCAGTTTTACCAATGTGTTTCTTCCACGAATAATGGGGCATCTTCATCCATTCTCACAACATGACCTAGCCAATATGTCTGACAATGCCGATGTCCGAGTAAAATGGACCATAGTAGCATCTATTGGCCAACACTATCCTTCTCTTAATTTCAAAAGTGGCATCAGTTTTATTTATGGCGGGATCAAGGTATATAGAATCTTTGACTACTTCGAAACTGTTGCTCAAGTTCCACAGTCAGTCTAAGTCTACTGGACGTCTTGCGCGTTGATACCATCAGGTTAGTCTGCTCTTCATTTATGTTCGACCCGTAATGTCGATGTCATCGGCGTAGGCATGCGTTGTTTGGTGTACAGAGTGCCATTTCTGTTCACTTTTGCCTCTCGTATGGTTATTTCCAGAAGGATGTCAAAAAGATCACACGAGAAACTGTCATCATATCTGAATTCTCGTTTGGTATTAAAGAGCTCCGAGAGGACCTTTCCGACTTTAGATGGCGATATTGTGTCAGTTAAGGTTATCCGGCTTATTCGTATTCATTTTGCAGGATTCGGCATTCCTGGCTTTAAACACCTCTGGACGGATAGGGCTGTCGAATGCGGCTTTAAAGTCGACAAATAAGAGGAATGTGCCGATGTGTTTTTCGTGGGTCTTTTTCAGGATTTAGCGTACAGTGAAAATCTGGTCAATGGTGAATTTGCCAGGTCAGAAGCCGCGTTGGTATGGTCCAATAATGACATTGACGATTGGCTTCAGTCGTTCTCACAGCACGCTCGATAGTACGTTATATGCGATAGGAAAGAGACTTATTCGTCTATAGTTGGCACATATCGTGGTGTCTACTTTTTTGGGGACGGGAGGTTCCAAAGCGAAAATTTTAGACCAACCAAATTGTCATTTCCCACTCAGAATAGACCATCATAAGGTGAGCCAATCGCCACAGAATCAGTTTTGCCGAAAATGTGACGAACTTATTATTTGAAGTGCTTCCTTCACGAACAACTTTCGTTGAATCCGACTCGTCTTCGAAGATCCATTCGGTTGATGTGTGTTTTGTTTCAGGCTCATGTGCATGGATCCATGATACGTAAGCTGACAGGATCTTATAAAAGGAAGTCCTAAGGATGCCTCTATCTCACGTACGGCTTAAAATCGTTGGGGGCACAACAACCTTCTTCCCGTTAAATTTTTAGTTTTCCTAGCTGGTGTGGCACGTAGCGCCATCATCTTATATCGATGATAATAAATCATCACTCTCGAGAGCGCCATTCATCATATTTGTTGATCGAACTTGGTTTCGAATAAAGTTTGGGTCCAATTGACTTCAACGATCCTCAAGTAGTCACACATGTTGGTATGTTGTACAGAAACTCCAGGGGACAACAACAATGAGGACAACACCATCTGGAGCTTGGGAGACTATATTGTATATACATCCTATTGACATCCAAATAAAATACGAAGCTGCAGTCGGAGCTTTAAGACATAAAGCTATGAACGAGTGGTTTGACACCGGACACAATAGATCGCACCATCATATAGTACAGGTAGTTTTGATAGTCGGTAGTCAGACCGATTACCTGATATAAGAGTAGTCACAACAAGTGAAACTATGATACCAGACAGGACTCATGGGATAGCGGAACACTTGAAAATATGCCTCCTGGTAACTGTTGTTATACAGATGGCTCCCAGCTAGCCGCAAAGTCGCAAATAGGAGTTTTCATTGAAAACCCTAAAACCTAAAAGCGGAGGTTCATGCTTTAACAAAGCGTCTGACCCGGTTTAGTGCAAACTCTGGTCAGGATATAATAAATATATAATGCCAGATGGGTGTTTGGATGTTCAGAACACCAGAAAAGACAATTTAATCTTATTGTGGTCAAAATATTTTTCTTTCGATGGAATTCCGCGTAATTTTCAAGGATCATATCAGCAAATGGGCGACATTTTTTAAAAAAAACTGGGTCTGCTTGAGTTTTTGTGTTTTCTAAACTCTACAAGCCTTAGGATCCAAGACTTTATACAAACTATGGAGTAATAAAGATAATGGAATGCTCTATCCAAATAACCATGAGGAGTGGGTTTTCTTCAACATTTTGATTTTCAGCAATATTTTCTATTTTTTCTTGAGCGACATGCACGTGAGGTGACTTTTATTTTTTGACTTGTCCCAACGGCTCGGATTTTCCTCCAATTCATTTTTAGACCTCATGTTTCTTTGGGCGAAATCTGTTTCAGACAATTTAGAGTCCATTTACAGATATGTCTGTCTTGCTTTTGCGTGTCATAAATCTAGAAGGGAGTAACCAAGACGATCTAAACTTTGCACATCGTAATATATCTTCCAAGTTCCAAGATAAGAAGAATCGGTTCACTTCTTCTGTTACCTCCGTTCAATTTGTAGTGCTATTATCAGTCTTGTCCAAAGATGGGAACCTTCGCTGCACCTTTTCTTGTGCACAAAAAGGTCAACATTTTCAAAACTTGTAAATTTAATATAAGGCGAATGTGGGGTATGCGATTCCATCCATTGATTGCAATCGTAATATTTGGTTGGGGAAAAATAAATCCATAAATACAAATATGTACTATAGGATTTTATTCAAAATGCTTCGGAATGTCCGATTGTTTTAAAGGTAACTGCATAATGTCTATCTCATAGAAGTCCTGCTCTCTATTTGCAATCCAAGAAAAAGATGATAATGGCTTGGTGCCAAGTCCGGACTGTATGGCGGACGCATTACAACTTCCCAAGCAAACACCCGAAGTTTCTGGCGAGTTACTGTAGATGTGTTGTCCTAGTGGAACTCGACACCTCTCCTGTTGGCCAATTGTGGTCGTGTCTGGTCAATTGCTTTGTTCAAACGGTCCAGTTGTTGACAGTAGAGATCAGAATTTAGCGTTTGGCTATATGTAAGCAAATCATAATAAATAATCCCCTTCCTGTCCCATCGAATGCATAGCAGAACCTTTCTGGTCGTTAGACCTGTTTTGGCCACCGTTTGAGGTGCTTCACCGCTCTTTGATTACGATCGTTTTCGCACCGAAAGTTCGACATTTTTAATATTATTAGGTGTCATATGAAGCTAATTTCGAATTATTAAAAATAACACCTCTTGTTGGAAACACTTATACATTTTTTTCAACATTCAATTTAAAACAAAAACGCATATTTACATTCCAACTCCATTAAATGAGAAATATAAAATACCAAACAATAAAAAAAAAAAAATCAAGACGACATTCACATGATTGAGTGATAAATCCAAATGCAAATAAAAACATTGAAATGACAAAAAACTTACCTCAATGGCCAATTCGAAATCCTTAATGTCAATTTCACCGCTTTGATTCACATCTGTTATAGGTTTTTGTTTTTATTTTTTTTGTTATGATTTGTTGTAGTTGTTGTATTTTCCATCGATTTATATAGTTTTGTGCATTTTCAAGTGGACATAAAATCAAATTACCAGCCATGCCAAAAAGGACATTGTAGAAAATGACAAGAGGACGAGAAAAAACGCAAATACACAAAAATGCCAATAACAGTGTCAGAGTCAGTGCCAGTGTCCAATATATCGCACCCAACAACACCAGCAAACCAGATGTAAAGATGAATACATTTTCAAAGCAATATTTTGCATATTTTCCATATTTTTTGTTTGGGTTTTGTTTGACATTATAATATAAAAACCCAATTGAAGCAGCATCACCAACGATATTCCAGAAGAGTAGAGGTGGTATTTGGATGTTCGCAATGCCACGGGACAAACAAACACACAGTGGCGGAACAAGGCAACAGACAGATCGTTGAATATTTATTTTGTGTGAGGTATAGATTTTTTTTTGGCAAATAATTTTGCATAGTTAGTTTATAGTTGTGTGTAAATATGTGTGTGGTAGTATTTTGTGTTCCGGGAAATTGGTGATGAAAAAACGCAGAACACGAGCATGAGGAAACCATCAGCAACAGACAGGCAATTTTTTGATGTTTTTTTATTTGTGTTATTATTTGAGTTAGGTTAGAGATGATGTTGTTGAATTGCAGTGTTGGTTTTTCGAGAAGGGCAAGTAGTTTCCAAGGAATCAGCGTGAAGTAACATGTAAAGAGAAAAAATAAGAATAGAGGTACATGAGATTATGTCATTTTTTATAGGATTCAAATTAATTATTTAAAAATTATAATTAAAAGCAGTGAGCGGAACAGTATTATCGGGACCGACCATGATGCACTACACAACTAACACTGAACTCCAACTTTCATTAGACCTATATTCCGAGCCTTTTTTAAGGCAAGTTTTCGCGGTATTTGTACGCTCGTTTTTTATACTACCATCTGTTTGAAATTATGTTTTACAAGATTGGCAAGATTCAAATTTGTCCATGTACTATACACTCATAATTTTGGCTTCTAGACCGACCATTTAAAAAATATACTTTTTGGTTTATTTGATCCCGTAAATATTAAGCGATCATTGGACCATAACAGTGTCATGTACTTTTAAAATGCATACGTTTTTAAAAAAATGTAAAGTTTTTAAGGACGTTACCAGAGATTATGGGTCTGTATAGCCGATAATAGCACTAAATCCACCGTTTTATTAAATTAATTAAAATCCAAAACTTAAAAAAAATCCAATATGTTTGTCGCTTTGTGGGCACTAAAAGTAAGCTTGATTAAAATATTAGGTTATTCAACTTTTGCTTTAATGATGCTCCGTTCGTACAAGATATAAGGTTGGGGAAAAATAAATCCATTTTTCAATCCAATTAATTCAATTGTGTTCGTTGATCGCTCAAAGACGAAGATCGTGAGGGTCGTCCAAAATTGTGAACGTGTTCGTGAAATGATTGTCATGTGACAAATAGAGGTAGAAACTTTAGGTCCTAAAATGCGTGTTTCCGTTGAGTCCCGCACAATTTAAAACTCGATTAAACATGTAAAAAAGTGTCAGTCGGCGTTGCCGACAGATATATACCCTAGTTCTATGGTTTGCGAAGGTTTTATTATTCGTTTTATATAAGGTATATGTTTAATTAAATATGTTTCGGATTTTATGTTTACCGAATATACAATATTGACCCTTTTTATAGGATGTACCAGATGAGAGGGTTCCACCTTCAGACTTGATCTGGGCTTGGTAAATGTAATAGGTTGTTTGGTTTAAATCGGGCATTCCATTCGCCTAATATTGGATTTATAAATGTTGTGGGGGAGGTATCAGAAGGAGTGGACCAATGGATCCCATCTTCAAACTTGATCTATTCTTGGAAAAGATAATAGGTTGTACAAAGTTTTGTTAAAATCGGATAGTCCGTTTAAATGTTATACAATAATTTTTTAACACTATTTTGACCATTTTATGGAGGAGGTACCAGAAGGAGCTGACCAGTGGGTCCAATATTCAAATTTGATCTAGGCTTGATCTAGGTTGTGCAAAGTTTGGTCCATTCCATTAGCCTGCTATTGGATTTATATAATATTGAAAATGTTGACCATCTTTGGGGGAGGTACCAGAAGGAGTGGACCAATGGGTTCCATCTTCCTACTTGATCTAGGAGTGGTAAAGATAATAAGTTGTACAAATGAAATTTTTGAAACTTTGAAGGGGAGGTACTAGAATGAGTAGACCAATGGGTCCCATCTTCCTACTTGATCTAGGCGTGGTAAAGATAACAGGTTGTACAACGTTTCGTTATGATCGGATAGTCCGTTTGCATGTTACTATAAAATATATAAAATAAATTTTTAGCACAATTTTGACCAGAAGGAGTGCACCGATATTCCCCATCTTCGAACTTAAACTAAGTTTGGATTAAGATGTGTAAAGTTTGGATGAAATCGATTATTCCCTTCGAGAGTTATCGTGCGCACCAACCATCCAGCCAGACATTTGTAAATCGACTTCAAATTGTCTGAAATGGATTTGCTCCAAACAAACATGGGTCTAAAACCAATATATCGATGAAGCACAATAGCAATAAGGCTATGAAAACATATACCTTATATAAAGCGAAGATTATATACCTAGCTAACGTGTTTTCCAATTGTTTGCGAATTCGGAACGAATCTCTGCACAAGTGTCCGATTCTGATGCCGAATTGTCACGAAATTGGAACAGTATTGTGTGAAGAAATCTGGAAAATTGTGGCTGAAAATAAAATTGGAATGAACATTCGAATTTGTTTACAACTAATCGTTTACAACGAATGTAAGAAAGTATGGAAATGGGACATTTTGAGTGAATTTTCAATTTTCTGCACAATATTAAAATAAAACATTCGAAAATGGGCACAAAGTACTTTTTGCAGAAATTTGAAAAAAATTACCGTTTATTCAAAAAGTTCGGAAATTTTATCGGATTCGGAAAAAACTCAAAATACTAACGAAAGTTTTTTTTTTTTTTGAAAATCATGCGCCTGTTGGTGACATTGGAGCATTAAGGATAGAAGCTTATCTCCTCCTTCTTCCTTTTGGCTAGTAGAAGGCGACATTTGGGTATTAATGATGGGGTTTTCTATTCTATATATCTCGGAAAATCGGATATCGGAGCCCTTGGCAAAAATTGTTAGCTCGGTATTGTGAGGTCTAATTATGACAGAAATGAATTTCTATAATAAATATACATTTATGTAGGTCCATTATTTCTGATCCCTCCCCCACAAGATGTTACAATTTTGAATAATTAAAAATTTTATAATTTTATACTGTAATTCCGAATAATAATTACCGAGGCTGAGGGGATATATTTATCGGCTACATCGACTGACTCATATTTTTTGTTTTTCCTTTAGTTAAATTATGTAACTAGTTAACGACTAGATAATAGGAAATAGCGATACTATCAGAGCTAATAAGTGTTAAAAGGCCCCTGCAATGATCGGCCGATTATGCTTTATATTTTCCATTGCACTTATTTAATCTTATTGGTCCATGAACGGTCACTTCTGTTATAGCCTTTCTCAGAATAGACCAAAGTATTTAATGTGAAATATATTTGGTTTAACCTGGTTCCCTGTTATTTATTGATTATAACTATAAAGCAATCAGAATCTTGTGATACAACAATAGTCAATCTCGAGCTAAATTGCACCAACTCTTTGCAATTGTTATCCTTAAAGTCCAATCAATTTAAATTTCCTAAGGCCGGGGTGACAGATTTTCCGAAAACATTGTCTCTTGCTCCGAAACTTCCAACCGGTTATTCCCAAAATTTACACATCTCTAATACTTCATCTAAAAAATGTGTCTATCCCACTGGCTTTTTGAAAAATTATGTGTAAATGGTTTTATTAGGCATGTACGCGCTATTAAAGGCGATAGCGCGAGTACAACAATATTTTCTGTTGTTGTTGTCCTTTTATTGCTACGTTTTTAAATTGGCGCTTATGGTGGAGTGTAATAATGTTTGGCTGAATTCTCTATTATTTCTACAACGAACGGTCGTTTTTTTGTTTTTTACGCCAAACACCAAGCTTTATTACCTCGCTGTCGCCATCGTTGTTGCAGCTGTCATTTTGTATCCGTTATGTATTTCAAACAGCCGGAAGTGACTTGTTTTTCAAGTACGCCAGTTTGTTTATAACTATCCCTGGTCGGTTGGTTGGTAGGCAACATCGTCATGTTTGTGTCTCTGTGGGTGTGTGTGTTTATTTGAGTGTTTCAATATTTTTTCCCTATGTTCGCTCGTTTTCGCTCCTCTCTGCTAGGCTAAAAATGCTAGAGTGGCCTAATAAAGTTTTGGGTTGTTGAATATCGTTTCGTTACATTTTTTGCTTTTGTCTCTTTTTTTATTGTGCGACACTTAACGTTTAGCCCCCTATTAAGCATTGTAAATTGGGTTATTTGACGAGCGCCAAATTTCGGGTCAATTGTTAACAGAAGGTCACAAATATTTTGTGCGAACATGAATAATTTACTAGGCTATTGTTCAATTTTGTTGGGAGGACGACACAAGAGAAAAATTAAAGTCAGTCGTTTGGCAGTAATATCTAGTTCTGCCAAATCGTAACAGCTGTAACGACAAATTGTTTAAGGGAACTGTGCTTATTTTGGAAATGGAATTTATTGGAAAAGAGGGAGTTACGTTTAAGAGTTTTTTAAAACTTAAGGCCTGTAATTTCCTTTGGAGAAAGTTCCTTAAAAAAATCCATGCCTATAGCCTTGATGGTCCTTGAGAAAATTAATCTGAATTTCTTAAAAATATTTTTAAGGTTTCACAGGCGTGGATTTTTTAAATTATATTTTTTCAAGGGTCATTACAAGGCGTGGATTTTTTAAAGAATATTTTTTCAAGGGTCTGTACAAGGCGTGGATTTTTTAAAGAATATTTTTTCAAGGGTCTGTACAACGCGTGG